CTAGGTAAATATATCAAATGCTTCAGTCGCTGATCCTGGTGCCAGTAAGAAAGCAACGTTGTTTTAATAGCAAAATCCTACGACCTGGGTTCATCCGTCATATCTCTGCAGAGCGCCTACGCCCTGCCTTCTCTCCTCGCTTCTCTTTGGGCGTCCCCTGCTGCCCACGGGCACGGCTGCCATCCTGCCCAGGGAGGGGCCTGGCACTGGGGGCCTCCCTCTCCCTCCCCACGCTGGGTGCTCAGAGGGCCACCAAGCCCGCCAGAAGACTCGGGGCCATCGCCTCCCAGGCCAGCTCAAGCCAGGGCACCCCGGGAGCTCCAGCAGCTGCGCCCAGAGACCTGGAGGGGTGCCCAGCCTGGGGATGGGGGCCAGGCAGTTCCCTTGGACAGTGCGAGGTCTTCTGGGGATTGACTGATTTTGATCGGTCCAAAAGATTGATAAGGCCAGCCATCTTAGTGTTCAAAAGAGCGGCTGTGCCCAGCCTGGCGGGAAAATCTGCATCTGGGTGAATTTAGCTGACACAGCTGCAGGGAGGGGCAGCTTCTTCCGGTTGTTTTCCGGCCCTGATTTGGGGATCAGCCTCTGGGACCCTCTTTATGGCCAAACAGGTCTGGGCTGCTGCTCTCCGGACTGGCCTTTGGCCTTTGCCGCTGGCTGTGCTGCAGGCCAGGAAGCTCATTGGTAGCCAAGAGTGGAAAATCTCCCCCCCTGCACAAGAGCTCCATAAAGTCCAGGGCCTCAGGCCCCTCAGGACACCCCATCGGGGGGGGGCAGGGGGGGCAGAAGTTGGGCGAGGTTGAAGCAGGGCTTTTCCTTCTCTCCTATGACAGCAAAGCCGCCCCCCACCCCCCAATGCTCCTGCCCTGGGGATTGAAGCAGCAACGGCCTCCCAGCCAGGGCCTTCAGTAGATCGGTGCCCTACAGAACGCTCTGGGCTTGGTCTGCCCTGGGAGGCTGTTGGGGAGACGGCCACCCCCGTGGGGGGCCTCTGGCAAGACCCGGCTTGGCAGAAGGCGGATGTAGGAGATGCCGAGTGTCTTCCCCATGGCTCTATTTGCATCTTTTTCGGGAAAGTCTTTACTCACAGGAAAGCCAGGGTTCCTGGCAGAAGTGGGGCGGGGCGGGGTGAGGCAATTACCTTGGGACCAGTGGGGTCCTTCCCTTCTCCTTTCTTGGCAGCACTCAAAGCTGTGCCATCTTCCCTCACCTTTGGTGGCTCAGTCTTCCCATTTGTTTGGCACCAGGTGTCAGGCAACACTCATCTTGTGCATATGGCTCCTAAATTGTGTAAATGCACAATCAAAACTTCAATCGTTCCATTTTCAATCATTTGAAGCCTGTTTGTCAGCCAGCCACTCAGAGACCCAAGGGCAAAGTTCACGCAGTGTTGGATGGTAAAGGTGGGGGGGGGCGGGGTGTTTGTGGTTTTTACTCAGAAATGGATGTTTTCTGTTTAAACCTTGTACTAACATTGGAAATGACTTTGGTCAAAACAAAGGAGCCCGGGTGGAGTTTGACCCCAGGCAGGGAGCCAACGTGCAAAATGCTGGCCAAAGGTGCCGACATCTCCCCCCCCGCCGCCACTTAGAGGAGGGAAGGGGTCCAGAGCAGAAGCCTCAGCCAAGCTGCCCCCCCCCCCACGGCTCACCTTTGGGGATCCCTTGCCTGTCTGTCCCAAAGCAATTAATTGTTGTTAGTCTGGAAGTTGTGACCCCTGGACAACGTTCCTCCAGGCCTTCCTGTCCTCACGCCAACTGCTTCAGGGACTCCCTCCAGCCCCCTCCTTCTCTGCCGTCCCCTTCTTCTCCTTCTCCTTCTCCTTCTTCTTCTTCTTCTATTGCCCTCCACCGTTCCGAGCCTTCAGCTCTTCTCCAGTGAGTCCTTCTTCCTTCTCATGAGGTGGCCAAAGTCTTTGAGTTTCCTCTTCAGGATCTGGCCTTCTCAAGAGCAGCCAGGGCTGATCTCCTCTAGGACTGACCGTTTGGATGGCCTTGCAGTCCAAGGACTCGCCGGTGTCTCCTCCTCCAGCCCCAGAGTTCAAAGGCCTCCATTCTTTGGCGCTCAGCCTTCCTTCTGGTCCAACCTTCACAGCCATACGTTGCCACTGGGAAAACCATCGCCTTGACTCTATGCCCTTTTGTTGGCAGGGGGGTGTCTCTGCTTTTTAGTGTGCTGTCTAGATTTGCCATAGTCTTCCTCCCCAGGAGCAAGCGTCCTCTAATTTCTTGGCTGCAGTCCCCATCTGCGGGGATCTTGGAGCCCAGGAAGATAAATGATGTCACTACCTCCATTTCTTCCCCGTCTGTTTGCCAGGAATTGGGAGGGCCAGACAGCAGGGTCTTAGTTTTCTCCATGTGGAGTTTCAAGCCAACCCTTGCACTCTCCTCCTTCACCCACATCAAGAGGCTCTTTAGTTCCTCTTCACTTTCTGCCATTAGTGGCATCATCTGCATAGCTGAGGTTGTTGATATATTCCAACTTTTAATTCATCCAAGGCACAATGTGCTTTTTCATGATGTGCTCCGCATATAAGTTAAACAGGCAGGGCGACAGGACACAGCCTTGCCGGACTCCTTTCCCAATTTTGAGCCAATCGGCGGTTCCGTGTCCAGCTCTCACTGTTGCTTCTTGACCCGCATATGGGTTTCTCGAGAGACACGTAACATGGTCTGGTACTCCCATCTCTTTAAGGACTTGCCACAATTTGTTGGGATCCACGCAATCAAAGGCTTTAGCATAGCCAATGAAGCAGAAAACAGATTTTTTTCTGGAAGTCCCTAGTTTCCCCCATGATCCAGCGTAGGTTCCTCTGCCTCTTCAAAACCCTGCCTGAACTTCGGGTAGCTCTCGATCCACATCCTGCTGGAGCCCAGCTTGTAGGATTTTGAAGCGTGTGAAATGAGCGCAAGGGTGCAAGAGTTTGAACATTCTCTGGAAGTGGAATGTAAACTGACCTTTTCCAATCCTGTGGCCACAGCTGAGTTTTCCAAATTTGCTGGCAAATTGAGTGTAGCATTTTTACCGAATCGTCTTTTTTGAATAGCTCAGCTGGGACACAGTCGCCTCCGCTAGCTTTGTTATTGCTCAGATTTCCTAAGGCCCATTGGACTTCACATTCTAGGATGTCTCTGCCGCCCTTCGCAGCTCAGCGCTGCCCAGGGAGAAGCGGGTGGCCAAAGGGACCTGCCTTATTTCCAGGGGCCACTGCTGCGGGGGGGGGGGGGAGAGGGAGGCCAGCTGGAGGAGGCCGAGCTGGGCACCTGATCGGGGAAAAGGGTGAGCCGGGCTGCCTTGGGCAGCACCCTCCAGTGACGGGGTGGGAGTTGTGTTCCCCGCGACACTCCAGCCCCAGGCCTGAAAGCAAGGCGGGCGGTCTTCGTCCCCGTGTGGCACTGGGTGGAGAGTGGAGCCGGAGCGGCTGGGGAGCAGGTCTGCCCTCCCCATACCAGAACATGGGAGGGAGGGGGTGGGAGGAGCGCCCCAGTCTGGAGCAGTCCTCCCTTTGGGATGGGGGCTGGGCTGGGGCTGCTGCCCCTACACACGCACACACACCCCGCTGCTTGAGAGGGAGGGGAGTCCCCTGAAACTCTGAGCCCAACCACTAGGAGCCGCCTCCTCCTCCTCCCTCCAGGTGAGCCTGGAGCCCTTTGGGGCCCCCGAGCATCTCCAAAGCGAAACTGTTCCCAGGAGGAAGTGTGACCAGCCTCAGGTTGTCTGTGTTGTGGCCACAGGCTGAAAGCTTTCCTCTCACAACGCCTGCCTGCCTGCCTGCCTGCCTGCCTGCCTGCCTGCCAGGTGTGGGCCAGGGGCGTAGGGACAGCCACCTCCTCCCCTCCCGGCTGAGGCCGGAGGATGCAGCCAACTTTCAACACCTGGGAGACCATTGAACCAGCCCACAGCTCCCAGCTCAAGACTTCAAATAAGTCACCAACTTTCTCGGGCACTTTCCAAAGCTCTGCCCTGCTCTAATGGCAGACGGGGCCTTTTTATACCATTCCACTTTTCCTTGCTTGCTTTAGTTCTCCGGAAACTTTTTAAAATGTAGATTTACTGTCGTTGAGCTGCATTTTCTCCTGAGAGTCCAGTAGCCTAAAATCCACGTCTGGACAAGCACAGAAGGTCCTAGTCACCCCCATCCCCTTCCCGAAGCAAGGATCCCCGCCTCCGAAATAACAGAGCTGGAAGGGACCTCAGAGGTCTTCTAGACCAACCCTCTGCTCAAGCAGGAAATCCTGTAGCATTTCAGACAAATGTCCAATCTCTCCTTGAAATCCTGTAGATGTCAAAGACTTTGAACCCCAGAAACTGGTCGGACGTAGCAGTAGAAAATAACCCGGAGGTTCTGCGGGGGGGGGGGGGGGGAAAACAGAAGGGGCAGCAAAAACCGCGGGGGGGGGGGGGGACACAACACTTCTACACCCCTCTCTCTGCTCTTGCCCGTGGCTGAGGCCCCCCATGGCAGGCCCTGAACCTGAGCCTCCCCCCGCCCCCATGGCAGGCTGACCCCTACATCGCACACCCTTCCCTAAATGTGGTTCTCCAGGGGGGTTTCTAGCATCTCTGGCCAGGCTGAAGGGCTGATTCCGGGGTGCCCAAGACTTGCCCCACTCCGAGGTTTTGCTGCCCTGCGGTGGCTGCCCCAGCACCACTTCACCCCATGGCAGCCCCCTGGGACCCACACAGGGCGAAAGACAAAGGCTGAAACGCGTCCAGATTTTTGCTTTTTTTAATTAGCGCCTCTTCTGGCACCGGCAGAGCAGCCCCAGAGTTCATCAGCAGAGAACCAGCTCCTTCAGGGCACAGGTGCCCAGGTGAACAAGCCAGCGCAGTGGCTAGCCGATGGGGCGATGGGGGCGTCTAGACTGTCGCTCCTTTGGGTGGGTCCCCTGCTTCTGCCTGCCTGAACTCTGGAGACGGAGGCTCACGGCTGACGCAAGCAAGGCCCAACACGACGGGAGCTTCCCAAACGCCTTCCCTCCCCTCCGTCTCGCTCCTGGGGGCTCCGGAGAAGCCAGCCCGCCCTGAGACCAAGGACGGATGGCAGGGCAAGGCCCGGCTGGGAGTTCCTTTGGCGAGAGAGACGCTGGCCTTTGCCCAGGGCCCGATGTGAGCCCGGGGGGCAGCTAAGGCAGAGCCATGGGCAAAGGGGTGTCCAGGCCTGGGGGCTGAGGGGCTAAATTCTGCTGCTGCCCCAAGTGGGTCTCAATGCCGGCCCCCTTACTGGGCAGGCAGGGGGCTGCCGAGTGGCCGGTGGTGCCCTGGAGGCGAGCCCACACCTGCCAGTCGCTGTTCCGGACGGCCTGGCACAGCAGCTGGGCCTCTTCCCGCAGCTGGGCCAGCTCCCGCTGGACCCTGCTGTTCTGCCGGAGCAGCTCCTTTGTCCGGAGCGTGATGCCCAGCAGCCCCGACCTGCGCAGGATCTCCACCGTGTTGTGCAGGCGGCGCTGTCTCACCAGGCTGTGCTCCCCCGGTCTCCTGGCGCCTTTGACAGCCGCCCTGCGCCCAGCGCGGGGCAAGGGGGGGCGAGCGGGGGCCTGTGGGCACACAAGGGCAGCCGTCTGTAGGCTGGTGGGCAACCCTTCGGGCGACTTCTCGACCGAGCTGTCCTTTCCAGTGGGGGCTTCTGGAGGTGCCCAGGCCTCCCCCACGTAGAGCTGCTTGTGCCTGATGGGCTCTGCCGCTGGGCTGGGTGCTTCCTCGGGCTGCCGGCCCGGGTGAGGAGCAATTCTGGGGTAAGCGCCAAGAGTGGGGAAGCGGATCTCCTTGGCAGAGGGCTTCTGGCTGGGGACCATGGGCTTCAGAGAGGCTGTGGGCTCCTGGAAGAGGAGGAGGTGGGCTGCAGAGCTGTAGGCACTCTCCAGGGGGCGCTGGTTGCTCCAGGCCAGGAAGGGGGCCGTGGGGGACACTCCCAGGGTCTGCAAGAGAGCCAGAGGGTCAGAAGCGGGGGGGTCCCTGGGCCGATGCCCGCCTGGCCTCACCCCCCCTCGGCATCCGATTCCTACAGGCAAGGGGAGCCCACACCCTCCAACTGACCGACCAACTGACCGACCGGGCACTCCTTCGGACAGGCAGCCGGGTGCCCTGAAAGGCCGTGGGCAGGAGGCTGATGGTGGGGCCAGGCCAGGGCAGCCACACCGCCGGGGGGGTGAGGGGGGGGAACAGGCTACCTGCTCGAGGATCACATTCTGGATGAAATAGAGAGGCGTGAGACCCCCCTTGGCTTCCTGCCACTTGTCCGGCCCCGGAGGCAAGCGGGGGCTGCCCGGGTCCCCGGTGTCCGTCTGCTCAAGGGCACTCAGGCACTCCGAGCTCCTGTCTGGGCAAAGAGGGGGGGGGGAAGCGAGGGAAGCCAGCGAGAGGACAGGCGGGGCAGCGCCCGGCCAGAGGGGCCCTTCGTGGCCGCCACTCACTCCTGCGGCACAGCCCACACTGCCTGAGGTGGTGGGGAGCAACTGCACCGGGTGGGTCCCCCTCTGCCCCCTTCACCCCCACCCAGGACCCCCACCAATTAATTCCCCACCACTGGGACAGGCAGAGACCCCCCCCCCCAGCAAGGGGATTGTTATAGCAAGCCTCCCCCCCCCGCCTGCACCTGAAAATCCAGAGTCCTTTTCTCCTTCACTCCCTGGGCAGCTGGGCTTGGGGGCGCCATGACGGGGGGGCCTTTCCATCTTCTCAGGCTGCCCCACGTGCCCCCCCCATGTTGGACCTGGCCTGGCCAATGGTCTCTTCTTGTCCTCTGCAGGCCAGGAAGGGGGGGTCGAGGGGTCATTCGAAGGCATGCCCGCACCTCTTGCAGTCCTGTGAGGGGGCAAAAATGGGGGGGGCGAGAGTAAATAGTCAGGGAACCCCCCCCCCAACATGGCAACCGGCAGCATCTGGAAGGCTCCAGTTCACCCTGTGCCCCTGCTGAACCTGATGCGCCCCACCGGCTGGCACATCAAGCACCCTGCTAAGGGCTGAGCAGAGACAGGCATGCCAACAGGAACGCCCCCCCAATGCCCCCCCCAAGCCGAAAGGGCAGGGCAGAGCAGCTTCAAGGGCACCCCAGTCTCCAGGCACTATGGGGGGGAGAGAAGGGGGAGGAGGGGCTGCGAGAAATGCATCCTACCCACCAAGCCGCGGAAGCGCTAGCCCTGCCGCACCACACCCAGAGGCCACCAGATGGCGCCAGCAGGACCCATGCCCCTCCCAAACTGGGGCGGGGGAGGGGCAGAGCAGGGGGAGCCTCGCCAATCCTGGGGAGGTTGGACCCAGAGCACACGTGCCCTTGGGAACCCACCCACTTCCCCGGGAAAGGCAGAGCCCGACAGAAGGCGCCCTCCCCTCCCCTCTCCTCCTGCCTTGTGCTGGAGGCCAGGGAGCCGCCCGGCTGCTTCCTCTTCTCTGGCTGTGGGGGCTTCCAGGCCCCACGGAGGCTGGTGGGCAGCGCAACTAGGAGGCTGTGCAGCCCTCTCTCCCCCAGGCTGGGATGCCAGACACACACACGCCCCCTGGCATCCTTGGCAGTGGGAGAAGCTGCTTTGGGCGATGCAAGTCACCCCGGCCCTTCCTTCCTCCGCCTAACCATCCGGTCCAATGCACCGCCTTCACCAGGCAGGCCGTGCCATTTACAGGAGGCGCCTCTGCAGGCGTCACTCAGCCTCCCAGACTGATGGGTGGTGCAGAGGGCTTGACACGGCTGGGCAGCGCCCTCCTGCCCCAAACGCTGAGATGTGGCTGGTTGTGGGCCACTTTGTTTAAAGCATGCCAAGGGGCAAGCCCCCCCCCATCTGCTCAGCCCTCCTGGCCCCCAGGAATGTCCCCATATTTTATCTGCGCTCCGGACGGGGTCACAGAGAAGTGGCCAGTCCACCCCGCTCAGCCCTGGCTCCAGGGGGCTCAGCTAAGCCCCAACATTGTGAGCTCCCAAGTCCCCCCCCCCAATCCGCTTGCGGGCCACGTGTCTGCTGAGCCTTTGGGGGGGACAGGAAGGGCCCCAAGCAGAGAGGCTGCACCGCCTTTCCTAGGTCAAGCCAGGTTACGTAACAGCACCACCTGTTCCCAGCATCTCAAGCCCCAGGCTCCCCTGCAGGCCCTGGAGGTGGTGGGCGGAGTGAGATTAGGGGGGGGGGGGCAGGAGGAAAAGGCCGGAAACGGGGGGCTTCAGTGGCTGCTCCTGGAGTGGCCAAAGGACGGAGCAGCCACTGCCTGGCTCACATGCTGGGAGGCCTCTCGCATCCAATGAAAGGCAGTGGAGGGGACTGAAGAGATCCCCCTACACACACACACACACACACACACACACAGAGACTTGTTGGGGACCCCCAGAGGAGGGATTTCTAGCCCCTGCGGCTGATGGCTGAGCTGCAAACCACGGCTGATCCCCGGGCAAATAGAGCAGAAGGCCTGGAAGAGAGGCCTCCCTTCGGTCAGCCCTTCCCTTCCTGGGCCCACTCATCACCCCCACCCCGCTCTGAAGCCTCAAAAGCCAGATCCCCATTTGCAGCCGCCTTGCAGGAACCCCCGCCCCACGTATCCATCCACACCCCAGACCCTCCCACCAGCGCCTCCAAGAAACGATCAGTAGAGCTCCAGGCGCCCCTTCCAGGCCGGAGTGACAGGGACCCCCATCGGGCAGGGCTTTGGCTAACCCTACCCCCCCCCCCAGGAAACGAAGGAGAAGAGCAACTGGGAGAAGAGAGACCCGGGCGACTGAAGCGACCCCCCCTCCCCCACCAGCCGATCCCTCCTCCCACTAAACCACCATCAACTATGGGTCGCTTACAGGCCGACTTTGGCTGCCAGCATAAGGACAGGCAGGAAAGGGGTTTGGGGGGGGGGCAGTAGCTGCAGACAGAACCAGGGCCCTCCTCAGTTGGCTTCCGGGGTCAGCCTATCCCCCTGCCCTGGGTTAACCTGCCCATCCGCCAGCAGCCTCACCTACCTGCTCAATGGGGCAGAGACCCTCTCTCCCCTCAGCCATCTTTCTTCCCCTCTACCTGAGGAAAGGGGGGGCATTGGCAAGTGAAAGGGAAGCCCCCACCCTCTCATGAACACACCCACGGATCACACCCACCGCGGATTACTCCAGAGACTTCTGAACTCCTGTGTGGAGCGCACACTCCCCACGCTCACCTTGTGCAAGGCAGAGCCGAGGCAAGGGTTGCTACATGACACACACGCGCACACACACAGCTTTCTCTTTCCCTTTTTCCAAGGATCAAAACCTCATGAAGTATTAGTACCACTTATAAAAGCCTCCGTAAGGCCACACTTGGAATCCTGCATCCAGTTTTGGTCGCGGAGACTTTGATAAAAGTGCAAAGAGCAACTAAGACGGTTAAAAGCCTGGAGAGGTGAAAAACGGCTGCAGGATTTGGGTCTGGCCAGTCTAGAGAAAAGAAGAGCCAGGGGTGACATGAGAGCAGTCTTCCATTCTTTGAGGGGGGCTGCTGCCCCAAAGAAGCGGGGGGGGGGTCAAATTCTTTTCCAAAGCACGAAGGCAGGAGGAGGAGGAACGCGTGGAACCTCAGCAAGGAGAGAAGCAACCTGGATTCCAGGAGAAACTTCCGGACCGGCGGTCTCCTCTTCACGCGCTTCCCCGGGATGCAGCAACCAGGCGGCCACAAGCCCCCCCGCCCCACCCCCGTTCCTTTCCCGCGGGTGTCCGGGCTGCTCCCCGGGGAGGCTTTGGCGGGGGGCGCAGGATGGAGGGCCGCCTCCCCCCCCCCGGCCCCTTGCCCCCCCCCCCCCCCCCGGGGAGCCCCCCCCCCCCCCCCCCCCC